GATTAAATACCAAAAAGTCAGTGAAGCCAATTGCTTTAAAAAAAAAAAAACGAAAAAAAGAAAAAAAATAAACAAACAAGGAGAAGTAATACGCCCTTTGTGCTGTGCACTCAAGGCATTTTGCAGCTTTTCTTGAAATATCCATCATAAGAGCACTGCTTTGATCTGCTGCTCAGCAGCCACTCCCAGAAGGGGTGAGAGACACCTCGTTTCCTTCCTTCCTTCCTTTCCTTACCCTGACCTACCGGTCTGGAATGCAGTTCACCTCTGAGCATTTTCAGATGTATCATTTTCAGAGAGGCTTTGCAAGTCACAACACACAACTTCACTGCCTACGACGCCCGCACACGACAGCCAGAGGAGCCACGTTCTGCCTCGGACCCTCCTGTGCTTCACCTGCAGAAGGGGCACAAGAGTGTTAGAATAACAAATACTCACCTCGCCCTCAACACAGGGAGGACCCCAGACCACGAAGGTCAAAAACTAGTGCCCCCAGGGTAGAGTTGAGTGGAGGTTTGGGCTGATCTGTGCCCCTGTGGCTGTCGCCCTACGTGCCCCCTGGCCCATCCCTGTGTGGCAGGATTGGTGATGTACCTCCTCCCCCCAAAGTTGTCCCACCTGGTGAGTGTGGTGAAAGCAAATCACATCCTGCTGGATTAGTTTCCAGCCAGGTAACAGTCAGTTTTTTGGCTTCCTCAAGTGACCTGCTGCACAGCAGCACAACCCTGCTTGGCTAACGCACAGGAGAGGGGGACAAAAGTGTCCAGAAGAGGCCAAGACAGTTTCTAGCCCTTCAGACGAGCTTCAGCCAAGGACAAAATCATCCTTTTAGGCTCACTCTGCTGTCCCTGCGTTCAGAGCGAGTCTTCAAAGACAGATTTTAAACTCTGAATTGCCGTTGAGGAGTGCCCCCATCACCCCATGTACCATGGGCCTTGAGCTGGAGTCACAACTAAACTCCAAAAACGTCGCTGGCATTCATCAGGACCATAATGTTCCCCCACCAAATGGCAAGGGAGTTGAGCACGGCATAAATACATGCTTAAAACTGCAGCACAATAAAAATAATAATAATAATAATACTAAAAAACCCCCAGCATAACCAGCATGGTGATGTGTGAGTTAGCTGGGGATGGCCGGAGGGAGGAGATGCCGTGCATTCTTGAGCGCGCTGCAAGGAACTTTCGGTCCCATTGACTTCAATGGGGTTTCAATCAGGCTGGGTCTCTGCTGCGGAAAGGAACTGCTTAACACAGCATCGTGGGGTTCCTCGGTTTTTTGTCTCCGAGCAACTGCTGGCAAAGCCACTGGTTAGTAAGTGAAAACACACTTTTTTCCAGTCGGCAGGCCTGCGAGCCGTACCTGCGTTTGGCTTCTTTCCTTGCCTTTCGCTTTTGGCCGCTGCTGAGGCTGTGATGGGTTTGTGAATCTGGCCCCTTGACTGGGTGCTGACTTTACCAACCCCCCGTTGGGCTACTGGAGGGGAGGTTGGGGGGGGTGGGTGGTGGGGGCTGACCTCGGGGTGGCTGG